GGATAGCAGATAGGGTGGGGTTTGATTTCAGATGGGGTGTGGCAGAAAGGGAAGGAGGTTTTCGATGGGTGGTTAGGGAATGGGGTTTATGAGGGCAATTTAGGGAAAAAAAAGGGGGTTTAATGAGTAATTTGAAATTTTATTAAAATTTAGTGAGGTCTAAAAAATTATGGGTTGTAAAGAGTAATTTATGGGGTTCATATAGAATTTCCCTTTCTGTTTCCCTTCATGTCCCTTGCATAATTTTTTGACAGGTGTTCAATCACTTGACTCCAGCTTAATACTGTTAACTTAATAAAACTTTAAAAAAAAAAAATTTAATTGAAAGAAAAATAAAACAAACAGCCATCAACGTGAGCACCCACCGCCTTAGTTGCCGCAAACCGGCCACCCACCACATCTCAAACAACCCCCCAACGGCCGTGAGCTCCTCCTCTCTTCATTGCCAGTGAAGCATCACCTCTTATGCCTCTCTTTCACTTTTTTCTCCCCCACCACCCCCACCCAAAAACCAATTTCTCTCTGAGATCCAATTCATACTTATAGACTTCTTTTAAGCGAGTGACTTTCATAGAGTTGATAAAAGTCATTAGTAAATTGACAAGATCTTTGCTATTAACAATTAGCCTTAAAAATATGAAAAATTTATTCATTTAATAAGCTTTTTAAAAGTCATTAATTTTTTGGATACCGCTAAACTTTTAAGGACTTTTTGAAAGTCACAACTAAATACCACTAAACTTTTAAATACTTTTCTGACCAAAAAAAAAAAAAATTTAAATACTTTTAACTACTTTTTAAAGTCACAATTGAATACCATTAAATTTTTAAATACTATTTAAAAATCACACTTGAATACCTCTAGACTTTTAAACTCTATAAAAATCTTTAAAACTTAGAATTTGATACACCCTCTAAAGTTAAAAATTATGTTGAAACATTTAAATGGTAACCTAGAAAAAGAAATTAGGGATTTGATTCCTTTTAGTTCTATGTAAGTTGATCCAATTTTTTTTTTACTAGATTCTTATTGGATGAAATTAGTATTTCTGCAGTGGTTATCATTTTGTTAAAAGAGAAAGTGACTTTCAATGATCTATATCGTTGTGTTGATAGGGATGCTTTGATGTGCAACGCTTGCGATGAACTAGGGAGGAGGGAGGATGGGGTGGCGTTCGTTGGATTGTGGTGACTACTACTATGTTATTTGTTTTTAGATTTTAGATTTTTATTTCTATTTATTTTATATCTTGCTACAACTTAACATTGTTAATTGGGGGTTAAGTTAATAGATACATGTCAAAAAATTATGCAAGGGACATGAAGGGACACATAAAATGGGGACAACGGATCTGCACCCGGATGGGAGAGATGTAGAATTTGGGATACTATGCAATTCATAATTCTTAGATTAAAAAAATACTGATTTGAATAAAATTATTATTAGAAAGATAATAATAAATTAGTTGTAAGATTGAATATGAGCCATTGATATGCCCTCATATATATCTTTCAAAATTTGTCTCAAAACTTGTGTAAAAAATATAATGCCATTGATCTGTCCCCATATATATATATATATATATTAGTACAAGCGATTGGGGATCGGGGTTTTGAACCCCTGGCCACATAGATAGAAATGGAAGAACTCAACCAAATGAGCTATACCTACAGGCCAACTAGTTTTATATTTTGAGTACCACCCTTAAATATTTTTTAAAAAGTAAAATGAAAAGTATATCCATTAATAAAAAATATCATAATGTCTTAATGAAGTCTCCAGAAAATAAATTGATTCATTAGGCATCCAAACTGGACACTCACACTATATCATGAACTCCACTCACCAACTCTCACTTCACTTCACCTCTTTCTCTAATTGCCTAATACATTGTGCACTCTTTTTTTTAAGGCTGATTTACTATAGTGCCCCATGAAAATATGGTCAAATCTCATATTGCCCCCTGAAAGTCAAAGTGACCCACTTTACCTCCTTGACCAAGTTTGATGTTCCACATTGCTCCCTGCCATTAGCTCCATCCAAAAGTCTGTCAAATTTGATGACATGACAGGGGTCTTTTTCACCAATTTTTTTGTTGAAGGAAAGTGATACAGTTTTGATAGCATGCGCACTGTGTTGTAGAACTAAACATACAACAACATGCCAAGGGTTGTGTTGTAAAAAAAATCTCTAAATTCGTTTTGACAACATGCAATAAATGCACATTCTTAAAAGTTGTATACTACAACGTGCAATTGTGGCACGTTGTGGAAAGTCTACTTCCACAATGCGCAACCTATGAGGCTATTTTTCTTGTAGTGCTCATAAATTAGGACACAAGTCACATCATGTACATGGTTCCAAAGCATGGATATATGAAACACATTGTGAACTCCTATCAATGCTGATGAAAGGGCCAGTTTGTAAGCCACCTCACTAATCCTCTCCAAGATCTCAAATGGGCCAATGAATCTTTGGCTTAACTTCCCTTTCTTTCCAAATCTCATAATTCCCTTCATGGGTGCCACCTTGAGGGATACCTTGTCCCCAACCACAAATTCCCTATCTTTCCTTTTCGTGTTGGCATAACTCTTTTACCGGCTTTCGGCAACCTTCATATTCTCTCTAATGATCTCAATCCCTTCGTTAGCTTCTTGAACTATACGAGGGCTCAACACCTTCTTTTCACCAACCTCTTCCTAATGTATAGGCGAGCGACACTTCCTTCCATACAATGATCCATAAGGTGCCATATGAATTGTCGCATAATAGCTGTTATTGTATGAGAACTCAACCAATGTTACATACTTATAGCAGCTACCCTTGAAATCGAAAACGCAAGCTCGTATCATGTCCTCCAAAGTCTGTATAGTCCTTTCAAATTGGCCATCAGTTTGTTGCTGAAAGGGTGTATTAAAATTAAGCTTCGTACCCATGGCTTTATGTAGGCTCTTCCAGAACGTGGAAGTAAATTGGGGGTCCCTATCAAACGCAAAGGACACAGGTACTCCGTGCTACCTCACGATCTCATCTAGTTGTGCCAACCTATTTATTGAGTACGTATTATTGATTGGGAGGAAGTAAGCATACTTTGTTAGTCGATCAACAATCACCCAAATGGCATTAAATCCCTTGTTAGTCCTTGGTAAGCTAACCACAAAGTCTATGGCTATCCTCTCCTATTTCCAAACCGAGATCAATAGCAGCTTCAAAAGCCCAGAGGGCCGTTGGTGCTCTATCTTAACCTGCTGGCAGGTCAGACATTATTCAACATGATGAGCTATTTTTGTTTTCATGAAAGGCCACTAATAAATGGCTCGTAAGTCTCAATACATCTTGGCACTTCCCGGATGGACCGAGTAGGGTGAACTATGCTCCTCAACTAGTATCTCCTTCTTAATTGAGTCGTTGTTGGGTACACACACACCCTCTTTCCAAGATGTAATACCCATCCTCTAACATCCTAAAGTTTGATTCTTTGCCTTGTAAAACCTTATTTGAGATGTTCCCCATCTGAGCATCCTTTCTCTGACCTTCCTTAATTCTATCCATCAAGGTAGGTTGTACTACTAATCCACCAAATATGAGCTATCACCTCCTCCTTGAACTTCAATATTGAGCTCCTCAAAATCTCTAGTGATTTCTAGTTGTGTAGTCAACAGTGCGGCGGTATAGCCTGTAGGCTTCTTACTTAGGGCATTTGCTACTACATTGGCTTTCCTTGGATGGTAATTGATCACACAGTCGTAATCCTTCACTAACTCAAGCCATCACCTCTATCGCATATTGAGTTCCCTTTGAGTGAAGAAATACTTAAGGCTTTTATGATTTGTGTAAATCTCACATCTTTCTCCATATAGATAGTGCCTCCAAATATTTAGTGCAAACACCACATCTACTAACTCTAAATCATGGGTTGGAGTTTTACTCATAATTCTTCAATTGTCGACATGCATATGCAATCACCTTCCCATTTTGCATTAGAACACATCCAAGCCCTTTGTGAGAAGCGTTATTGTAGATCACAAATCCACCCGGACCAAATGGCATGGTTAAAACCGGGGCAGTCACCAGTTGGTTTTTTAACATCCCACTTCGACTAACGGAGAAGGGGTGATGTGCCTTATATGTACATGCCCGCCTTCATCTAGTATGAGGCCTTTTGGGACCTCACTGACTTCGGAGTCATGAGAACTCTGAAGTTAAGCGAGTTGGGGCTAGAGCAATCCTAGGATGGGTGACCTACTGGAAAGTTGCTCGTGAGTTTCCAAAAACAAAATCGTGAGGGCAGAGAGGGGGCCCTACAGCAGAGCCGATCCTAGGATATGACAATTTGGTATCAGAGCCACTCTGCCGTGTGGTGTGAGTGTGCCGACGAGGACGTCGGGCCCCTAAGGGGGGTGGATTGTAACATCCCACTTCGACCAATGGAGAGGGGGTGATGTGCCTTATGTGTACATGCCCGCCTCCATCTAACACGAGGCCTTTTGGGAGTTCACTGGCTTTGGAGTCATGAGAACTCTGAAGTTAAGAGAGTTGGGGCTAGAGCAATCCCAGGATGGGTGACCCACTAGGAAGTTGCTCGTGAGTTCTCATAAACAAAACCGTGAGGATAGAGAAGGGGGCCCAAAGCAGAGCCGAACCCAGGATGTGACAGTTCTTGAGTTCTTGAAAGCTCTTCTCACATCCATTGGTCCACTGAAATTTAGCATTCTTCTTAGTTAGCTGAGTAAGTGGCGTTGCAATTTTAGAAAACTCTTCAACGAAACGCCTATAGTAACCAACGAGTCTGAAGAAACTTCTTACCTCCCCCACGTTAGTAGGGTTGACCAATTGGCCACAGCTTTAACCTTACTTGGGTCTACAAAGATCCCCTGGTTATAAATAGGCTAAATTATTGAAATGCCCCCTATAACTCAATTTCAGTCTCAGTTTCCCCCCTGAAACTCTAAGTGTCTCACTTTCCCCTATGAAACTCCATATAGTGTCTCACTTTGCCTGGATTCCATCCAACCTAACAGAAGTCGTCAAACTTGCACACGTGACGCCCATGTGCCATTTCTATTTCTCTAGGTTCTTCTGTACTTGTAGGTTTTGAAGAGCCAAAAAGACAGGACCCACAATAGATGTAAAACATCACCCATATCTTCAATTAGTGTAAAATCTTCACACAAGGATAGATATTTTGGGTGATTTCAAAATCTGAGTAAAGCAATAGAATCTTCAACAGTGAAGGTGCAAACTGAATTTGACAATGACAGAAGTAGGAGGACCTTCAGCTTTCACAAGTAAGTGGACCTTCAGATTCTTTATTTATCATTGGCCTTGGGTTCGAATCTAACTGTTAGGCTTTGTATTATTGTATTTGGCTTTGAACTTTAAGGAATATTATAATGGATGTTGTCCAATTAGGGATGAGTACATTGTTTTATTAATTTAGGTATATACTCATGACGATGATGCTTTTAATTTGACTTTGTGACTTTTTACTACTGCAAATGAGTGGCTGGTAGAGTAAATTCAGGTTTTATGCTCTATTTTGTGTTATAGATGTGGAATCAAATTGGAGAAGTGAGGAAGAAGAACAAACTAGCAGTGAGAGTGACGAGGATTTGGATGAAGACCCAGATTTTGTAGACCTTGCCTATGCACAAAGTGAGGAGGATGTGAGATTGTTGAGGGATGATGATAATCAGTTTCAGGGATATGTAGACCATGATGCAATTGACAATGCAGGTGAAGAGGATGAGGAGTCAGATAATAACCCTGCCTCACCTAGGATGTGTACACCAGAGCACTCTTCTTCTGAGTCTGAGGTTGTGACTGGAAACTGCTTGAGAAAGAGGAAGCTCCCTAACTTTAAAGACTTCATCCCATCCATTGATATGAAAAATCCTCAATTTGAGCTCGGTTTAAGATTTCCTACTCGTGAAATCTTTAGGGCAGCTGTGAGGAGGCATTCTGTCCTAATTGGAAGAGAGCTTAAGTTTAAGGTGAATGATGGCAGTAGGATTCGAGTAATTTGTGATGAGAAGTGTCCATTTCACCTATATGCATCATCTGTGCATGGAAGCAAGCATGTTCAAGTAAAAAGCTATGTTGGGAAACATACTTGTGGGCAGGGGAATGCGAATATGCATGCCAATGCAAAGTATTTCTCAAACTGGTATGAAAGCAGTTTAACAAATTCTAACTGGGATGTGGCATCTTTTCAAGAGAAGGTGAACCAAGAAACTGATTATTATCCTTCTAGGGCACAAGCTTATAGGGCAAGAAGCTTGGCAACTAGCAATATTGAAGGGAGTTATACCGAACAATATGAACTTTTATGGGATTATTGTGAGGAGTTGAAAAGGACAAATCCCGGTAGTTCAGTGGTCTTAAAGTCTGAGTTAGAGGGTGATATGCCAAGATTTCAAAGGGTTTACATTTGCTTGCAAGCTTGTAAGCAAGGGTTCTTGGATGGTTGTAGGCCTTATATAGGGTTGGATGGTTGCCACATCAAAGGCCCTCACCCTGGCCAATTGTTATGTGCTGTAGGAGTTTATGCAAATAATGGGATGTTCCCATTGGCATATGCTATAGCTGAAGTTGAGAGTTACAATACTTGGAAGTGGTTTTTGGAGTTATTAAGTCATGATTTGAAGATAGAGAATAGCCACAACTATTTGTTTATGACTGACAAACAAAAGGGATTAATTGATGTTGTGGATGATTTATTCCCAATTGCTGAGCATAGGTGTTGTTTGAAGCATTTATATGCAAATTTCTTGAAGGAACATAAAGGATTGGCTCTAAAGCTGCAAATGGAATCAATAGCAAGGGCCACTACATTGCCATGGTTTGTTGAGGAAATGAAGAAGATGTTAGAGTTAGATACAGCTGCACATGCTTGGTTATGTGAGAGGGATGCAAGTCAATGGGCTAGATCCCATTTTAGAACTGACTTTAAGTGTGACATTTTTGATGAATAATTTAAGTGAGGCTTTTAACTCATCCATATTACCTGCAAGGAACAAGCCTGTGTTGATTACATTGGAGAGGATTAGAATGTATTTAATGATCTTAATGGCTTCAAGGAGAGTAGCCATGGATAAGTGGCATGGTCAAGTTGGGCCTAGAATACAAGGGGTATTGGAGGTAAATAAGGCAGCTGGGCAGTGGTGCATTCCAAGGCATGCTGGGCAAAATAAATTCCAAGTGATGCATCATAGTGGGAGACAGTTTGTGGTAGATTTGAATGCCCACACATGCTCTTGCAGAGCATGGGATCTCAGTGGTCTTCCTTGCCTCCATGCTTGTGCTGCAGTGAGTAGATTCCATGGGAATCCAGAAGATTATGTGCATGACTTCTACAAGAAAGATGCTTATCTAAGAACTTACAGGGACATGATTCACCCCTTGCCTAGCCAAGACTTGTGGCCTAAAAGTGGTTTACTTCCTTTGAAGCCTCCTCTTTACCATAAACAACCTGGTAGGCCAAAGAAGAGTAGGAAGAAGGCACATGATGAGCCTAAAAAGAAATCAAATCCCAACAAACTCCAAAGATACCACACTATCATCAAGTGTAGCAATTGTGGGCAAGAGGGCCATAACAGAACTAAATGTAAAGAGCCAATGAAAAACCAGCCAAGGCGTAAGCAATCTGTAAGTATTGCTTATTATATTTCATTACAATTGCACCATTTATTTATTATATTTAGAAAAGCTAACTCTAATATATCATTTGTGTAGGTGAGGAGAACCAATACACTAGGACAATCAGTCCAACCTTATTCACAGCCAAGACATAAGCTTCCTGTAACTCAATTTATATACTAGTTTTACAAAAACATACAGACTAGTTTTACAAAAACTTACATACTACAATGTCATTTATGTAGGTGAGGAGAGCACATTCCAATTGTCACTCAATGGAACCTAATGCACAGCCAAGCCAATCAACTCAGCTTTCACAACCAAGCCAATCAACTCATCTTTCACAACCAAGCCAATCAACTCATCTTTCACAACCAAGCCAATCAACTCATCTTTCACAGTCAAGTCAATCATCCCGAGCTCAATCACAGTCACTGCATGCCCACATCATTTCTGATAAAGAGGGAGGTCCTTCAAAGAAGAGGTTGACATCTGTTGCAAACAACAAGGAGTGGCTAAAGAAAGTCAGGGCCACTATGCAACCTTGGCAGTGGTGATTTTGATGCGGAATTGTAAGCCCTTTGAAATAGATTTGATGTACAATTGGCTGCAGTTGATATGGATTTAAGTTTTTTATATGTCCTTTTGGGTTTTTGATGTGGACATGGTCTTTTCTTGTTAAATTAGAATGTGTAAACTGATGTTCTTAATAGAAATGTACTTAATGAATTGAGCCTATGTTGGCATCAAGTTCATTTGTCAAGTAAATTGAGCCACTGGTGATTTTTTAGTTTCAGTACTCATTACCTATTTGTTTATAGTTTTCTCACTATCTCAAAGTATGGTCAGTTGATACCAAAAACAAAAAAAAAAACAAAAAAAGTAAGACCACTTTACAGAAGAGGTTGAACAATAACAACCAAAAGTATGGCAATATTCAAATACCATTGGATTAACCATTCTAAAAAACACCAGATTACATAACACACAAATGCCATTGTGCTCATCCATTCCCAAAACACTTGCAGATTACAAACTTCCCTCCTCCCCTTTGTTACAGTCAGGATTACTAAACCTACATTACATAGTCAACTCTAAACCTAATGATGATTATCCCTTAAACCACCAACCATCATGGAAATCAACATTATCCAAGAAAGAAATAGAAATCCCCACAATAATTTCTCTCTACCTCGAAGCTGGGCTAGATCTTGTTCCAGTCTTCCTCTGTTCTTCAGCAACCCAGGTATTATATCCTTTGAACGAGAACACATCTCTGGATCAAACCACTCAAAGAAGCAACAACCTTTGTTCCTTCCCTGTACCACCATAATATCATCAAAAACTACCATAAACAAGTAGAAATCTACAAATATTAAAGTGGTTGTTACCAGTGGGCAGACTAGAAACCTCCGACCTGGGTTGGAATCTGTCCATGAGGTCTGAACTCGACAGAGCTTCCCACAATGGCAATGCTTTCGTTTTCGACCCTCCATCGCAACTTCAGTTCAATTGTTGAAGGAGGTCTTTAGGGTTCACAAGTGTTTGCAATTTGGGACCAATTTTTGCAGAGTTAATTAATACCCATAAATTCTTATATGGACAAATGAACCAAGAAAAATGGCACAATGGGAATCACGTGTGTAAGTTTGACGACTTCTGTTATGGCTGGATGGAATCCAAGCAAAGTGAGACACTATATGGAGTTTCATAGGGGAAAGTGAGACACTTAGAGTTTCAGGGGGGAAACTGAGACTGAAATTGAGTTACAGGGGGTATTTCAATAATTTAGCCTTATAAATATATGCCCCAATAATGAAACTTGATTAGGCCAGAATTCACACTTCTTACAATTCGCAAATAGTTTCTTCATTCTTAAAATTTCTTAAAACTTATCTTAAATGCTTCCCGTGTTCCTCTTATGTCTTGGAGTATACCAAAATGTCATCGATGAACACAATAATGAACTTATCCAAATATTCTTTAAACACTCAATTTATGAGGTCCATGAAAGTTGCTAGCACGTTCGTTAAACCAAATGGCATCACCAAAAATTCATAATGTCTGTACTGCGTGCGAAAGGTAGTTTTAGGTACATCCTCCTTTCTAACTTTCAACTAATGGTAACCCGATCTAAGATCAATCTTTGACAAAACACTTGCTTCTTATAGGTGATAGAATAAATCTTTTATCCTTGGGAGTGGATACTTGTTCTTTATAGTGTCTCGGTTGAGTACTTAGTAGTCGATACACAACCTCATCACCCCATCCTTCCTTTTAACAAATAACATTGGTGCTCATCGCAGTGAGACACTTGGTGCCAATCGATAATGGGGTTTCAATATAGGAGTCGTGCGTGGTAAAAATTCAATTGCGAACTCACTTTCGCGATCAGGTGGTAATCCTTGTGTGTCGTTTGGGAACACATATGTGTAGTCCCTAACCACAAAACTATTCTGCATCTGAGTCTCTTCCTTCTTAGCCTCATACACATTACTTAAGAAGCCCACTCTCCCTTTCCATAACAACTTCTTAGCTTGCAATGCCGATATCACCATTGGTAGTGATTACACTTTAGCACCAACAATACAAAACTCAACTTTGTTAGGTGGTTAGAAAACAATCTCTTTCTCAAAGCACTTCACCATGGAGCAATGAGTGGATAACCAATCTGCTCCAAACTCTTTATTCGTTATAGTCATTGCACAACCCTTTAGCACCTCCTTGTAATTTAATAACTCCCCGGAAGGGGTGGCCACATAAAATTCTAATTCTAACTTAACAAGCATACCACTAATTTTTCTAGAAAATCTAGAGGATACAAAAGAATGTATAGCTCCATTATCAAATAAGGTAAAAGTAAGTTGTCCAGATATTAGGATTGTATCCACCTTGTTCATAGTTAGGGCATAAACTCTTCCTTGTACACTTCTGCCTTTATGTGTTCGCCCTGATCTTCCTTAGCATCTAGGCAGTTTTGTATGAAATGTCCAATCTTTCCAAACTTGAAGCATGCCTCAGTCTTCTCATGACAGGTTTCCTCATAATTCTTACTACACGTGTCACAGATTGGGATGTCCCTCTTCTCTATGCCACCAACTTTTGTCTTTTTGCCTACCCATTCTGATTATCATACCCCTTCATGTTACCCTTGTTCCATGGTCTCTCCTGTGCAGAGCTTTGTCCCTTGTCCTTCGTTTCAGCAACTACGATTGGCTTTTTTGTCTTGTCTAGAATTTCTGCTTTCCTTAAGACAACACCATAGTTGGGAGCTCTATAACTATAATAGCTCTTCTTATTTAAGCTCTCATACCTCTCTCAAGCCTCATAGCCTTGCGTTCTTCAATGTCCACCAAGTGAGGCATAAATCTCATCAACTCTTCTAATTTTCACTATACTTTAACACCGTCATTGATCCTTGAGTGAGTTGGATAAACTCAACTTCCATGTCAGCTTTCAAGGGTGATGGGAAGTATTTGTCATAGTGACCTTTTGTGCCTTGCCCCTTTCTTAAGCATAAAGGTTGCACAAGTGACCTTTTGTGCATCCAGGTAGTCAATATAAATGAAAATACTCTCCAACTCGATGATCCATTGCTCAGTTGCAAGGGGGTCTCTCTTACCTTCGAAAACCGGGGTCGATTCTTCCTAAATTGTTCCATCACTCTGCCTGACCTTCCAATCCCTCTTTGCATGGTATTCTCCCATGTAGTCATCATGTTGGAAAAAACCTGTATGTTATTCAGGACTCCTTCCTGGCCGCTTACCCCATAATTGCCCCTACATCTTCTAACCATAACTATGTCTTTTTAGACAATAAAAGACACATATGTCTTAGTTTAAGTAATGAGGAAACATACAAGTAAAGAAACATCAATTTCCAATACTAACTTAATATAATACAACACACAAAATGCCAATGGCCAATCCAAAACTTAGATTCGTACACGTCACAACAAAGTTAACAAATGGGTAATTTTCACTTTACTATGCTAAAGTTTACCATGTTTTAGAGTTCAATACGTCAAGTTTTTTTCATCTCAGTTGCATACACAAAGTTGATTTTCCTACCATTTTCATACTTTCCATTACTCTTGTCATTAATAAGTATGTTAACTACTGACATGGCAATAAATATGCCACGTACACCCACTCATATGGTGCCACATGGTTTGACAAAATAAAATAATAAAATAAATTTAATTAATTAATAAAAAATGTAAAAAGTATATATATTTACAAAAATAAAAAATAAAAAATCATAAATCTTTCTTGTACTACCTCCTTCCCTCCCACCCTATCACACAACCATTAACCTAGAAAGTGACTTAATAATGGTTGAAACCTAAAAACTAAAATCCATTAACCTTCAAATTCATCACCTTGCGTACCATGAGGCTTTGAGAACCTGAGGTGAGTGAGAAAGAATTAGCTTATAAGGTGGGACTTGATGGCGGCTATGGCTTTGTCTTTCTTGATAGAAGGAGAGAGAAAGAGGAGGGGATGGGCAGTTACTAGAGGGTGAGGGTGGGCGGTGGTGACGAGAGGTTAGGGTGGGGTTGGGTGGCGGTGAGGAGATGGTGGGGTGCTAGGGTTTAGGAAAGAAGATGATAAGCTAGGCAGCCCACCATCTAAATGGCCTAGTCTTCAATTTTTTCAAATTGGATGGATAGGCTAGGCAGAAGAAATTTCAAATTGGTTTTGGCAAATTGGTTGGTGTTGGGTTGAAACTTGTCTGTTTCTGAAATTTCAAAATGGGTTAAAAGATGTAAAACAATTTGAGCCACACAAGATCATTAAAATAGATCCAACGGTTGAGCGCCTCATCCCTCAAAAAACACTATTTGAAGGATCTATCAATTGAAGGGGACTGATATATATATATATATATGTTTGCGATCTAAAGCTGTAGCAACATGAAGATGGAGTTGGAGTTGGAGGGAGCTTAAAATATGATAGAGATATGAATTATGTCTGGTCGTTGGTTAGTGTTTCAGCAGAATCTTCAGAATTGGGCAAAGTCTCAGTGGAAGGGGAGAGGGGGAGGGGGTGGGTGGAGGTAGGGCCGGCCCTGACATTTTGGTGGCCCATGGCCAATAATTAAATGAGGCCCTTAGTATATATGTTTTTTTTTGTTTTTGTTTTTTTTTGTTTTT